TCACCTCGTGTCAAGACCAGTAGTCTTGCTCTCTTCCCTGGATTCTCAAAAGAAGGTTAATAAAAGAAATTATAGAAAAGTTATCAAAATCACAGAGAAAAGGAACTCTTTTTCCTCTTACATTCAATTCCATGGTATTGTTTAAATACCCTGGACAAGGAAACACCAGGCTCAGAAGATTTTTTTTAATGAATAAGTTGAAAGATAAGATTCACAAGCATTCTGTAATACAAAGGCACAGAAAGACAAAATTGTAAATACATATTTAAAGATAAAGGTACTAACATTTCATGAAGCAAAAATTATAATACCATCAGCAGAAAATAATCAGAAATATTATTATGATTCACATAAATTTGAAAAGAATATTTATTACCAAGAGTTAAATTAAATAATTTTATAAGTTAAGAATTAATTTTAGTGTTTTTGACATGTAATAATCTTTTAATTGGATCAAGAACACTTGAGTTCTAGGCCCCGTTTTGTACTGATTGCCTGTGTATCTTTGGACAAACCTCACTGGGCATAACACTTTTATTTTAGAAATTTATGAGTGGGGCAATTCTCCCATAACATTTCTTTTACCTTAATCTTTGGTTTGTATGAAGATTTATAACTAAAACTTCTTTCCCACATGTTGTTCCATTTTATCAGTTTGGCAATTTTATAAGGAAGGCCAAGAAAACATTATGATTTTCTTTTTACTAATGAAAAAATAAGGAAAGGCAGTTAAGTGACTTCACTAAGTTTGGTATGTAGGACCCCAATGCTTTCTCCAAGATTCTTCCCCAAACCCTCCCTAAACAATGACATAATCAAATCTTTAAAAAGCCTCTTTTTTCTTTATTTCAAAACTAAACTTTAAAATGAATTCCTTTGATGATAAATTTAAACTTCATGATCTCTTTAAAAATATATAATTTATTGAAAATTTCATACATGCATATAAGGTGTTTTGATTAAATCCATGACCCTCCAGCCCCTCCCATATCTCCCTGTCACTTTTTTCTGATAACTTCATATACTCGTTCTTCTTCTTTGATTGATTTATTTTTTTAATGGGGTTTTGCCTACTCTAACATTCTCCCCTCTGAAGAGGTAACCCTAAAATCTTTTAAGGATTAGATAAAAGCTCCCAAATATTTTCGACAATTTTGGCCTTTGGAATGGTGTATATTGCTAGGAGGCCCAAGGACATTGTGAGTTTTAGCCAAGAAGCTGGCTACTTTTTTAG